TCTCTCTGTCTCTCTCTCTCTCTCTCTCTCTCTCTTCTTCTCTCCTCTCTCTCTCTCTCTTCTCTCTCTCTCTCTCTCTCCTCTCTCTTCTCTCTCTCTCTCTCTCTCTCTCTCTCTCTCTCTCAGGTGTTCACATTGCCAGATGATGTAGGCTGTGAGTGGGATGATGAGACTGGAGATGTTAATGGTTTATCAGTATGGTTATGATGGAGAAGACTTCATAGTTCTGGACCTGAAGACATGACGTGGGTCGCTCCACAACAACAGGCTGTCGTCACCAAACAGAAGTGGGATAATGACAAAGCTGATTTAGCACAGCAAAAAGACTACCTCACACAGATTTGTCCTGACTGGCTGAAGAAGTTTGTGAACTATGGGAGGAGCTCTCTGATGAGAACAGGTAGGATCAAATGACCTGATGGAGTTGAATTCTGACAATGTTCATCTTCTTCTTTTCTTGTTTATCTTGTAATTGAACAATAAATATTTCACACATGTTTCTATCACACATGCTCTGTCTTCATCTTTAAGCTTCCCCTTACCTTTTCCTTCATGTTAGATCTCTTTCTCTCTGCTGCTCATCGCTCTCTCTCAAAGTTTCTCTGTGTTTTTATTGTACTTTCTCTCTCTCCTCTTCTTCTTCTTCATCAATCCATCTGAACCCCCCTCACCTCTCTTCTTCTGTTTCTTCCCCTCTGACCCTCTCTTCTTTGAATTATACTTTAATAAGGTTGATTTTCATTGTTGACTCACTGGATTTTAAAGTCCCTTTTTTTCCCAGTACATTTAAAAAGTGTCATCAAACATGAGTTGTAACAGTATTTAAGAGTAAATCCTGATAAAGAAACTCTAATCTGTCTTCCTGTTTGTCCTCCAGACCTCCCCACAGTGTCTCTCCTCCAGAAGACTCCCTCCTCTCGGGTCACCTGCCACGCTACAGGTTTCTACCCCAACAGAGCCATGATGTTCTGGAGGAAAGATGGAGAGGAGCTTCACGAGGACGTGGACAAGGAGAGAGATCCTCCCCAACCACGACGGCTCCTTCCAGATCAGCGCTGACCTTCAACTGCCCTCTGATGACTGGGGGAAGTACGACTGTGTGTTTCAGCTCTCTGGTGTGAAGGAGGACATCGTCACCAAACTGGACAAACGAGAGATCAAGACCAACTACGGTAAGACCTCGATGAGAAGTGATGAAAGAGAGGATTTGACTGTAACAGTCGTGTGATGGAGGGAAAGTTTAGTTGTGACTTTTTCTTTCTTTCAAACTCTTCAAATTGTAAAAGTATTCAGAAAAAGAGTTTAAAGGTTTGGATCAGGATGAAACAAACACAGAGATCTTTAAAGAGATTATTAATGGACAGAATCGTTTTGTTTTTTACCGTCTGTCCGCTCGTTACCACAGTGCAGCCGCATTAACCTTTAAATTACTTTAAATCAATAATATTGAGAAAAAAGGGTTTGAATGTAATCGTTAGCGGTTACCATTGTGCCACAATCAAACATGGAAATAAAAGACATAAAGGTGAAGGGAAAAAACAACTACATGTAGAAAATGAATCAAAGGTACAGTGATGAAGACGAGCTAACTGACAGAAGGAGAAACTTTGTCTTTAATGAACCTTTAACCTGTTTGATCACAGGTTGTGTGACTGTGTGTTGTTTGTGTTCAACAGTGAATCCCATCTACATGATCATTGTCATCATCGCTGTTGTTCTCCTTCTTGTAACCATCGTCTGTGCGGCTGGATTCTGCCTGTAAAGAAGAGAAATGGTGAGAGAGCAAAGTGGAAACATTCAAACATGTTTTTTATATTTACATCTGGTGAATAGTTCTCTTGAGGGGACCTTAAATAACCTTCAATGAAATAAATCTAGAACAATCTTTTTTTTTCTGTTTCAGCCAAACGCCCTCCATCCCGTAAGTAGAACTTGATTTTATTATATTAAGTTTGACCTTAAATGAACTCTGTAAATGAAAAAGGGTTTCTGGAGTGTTTTCTGGTGTAAATGATGGTTTCAGAGTCGGATGTGTGCTAACATTGTGTTTCTGATCTTACAGCGGTAAACGACCCGGCTGTGCAACAAATGATGCTTCCAAATCAAAATACCTAAAGACAAAGAGAGGACCCTGAACCCAGTGAGTTACATGAAATAAGCCTTTAATTCAGGATATAGTCATTGTTCTGGTGGTGTGTGTGGTAAGTCAGGAAGACACTGCATGTAAACATTACTTCTGCTGCTGCGTCACCTGGACAGAGGCGGTAACCACAGCTACAGGCAGAGAGAAAAGAGAGTCACAGGTGAATGGGGAAGAGGAATCAGGAATCAGAGGAAGACACACAGTTTTTAAACCGTGTGTGTGTGTGAACGTGTTTTTGAGTCCTGTCATGTTTATTATCATGTTTTCATATACGAGCTTATTCTTTTCTTTTTGGTTGTTACAGTAATTCTTTAAATCTGATTATAAAACTGCATAAAGGAGATCGTTTCTTTGTTATTGTAAAAAAGTTGATGACTCATTTTAGTGAAAAAGTGTATTTGAAGTGAAGGGAGATGATTTAAAGAAAGGTGCTTCAATGATGAAATCACCGTGACCTTTGACCTTGATGTTAAAACCTGGATTTGTGGATAAATTCTGTAAAAAAAGTGATGATAAATATTTTTTAATGTCATGTTTTCTCTTTCTTCTGTCTTTTTCTCTAAAGGTTTACGGGTACGTTCTGCACTGAAACAAGGAGCAGACCGACACGCTCTCCTCAGAATTCATTGGCTCTCATCGTATCAGACATGAAGTGATCAGAGTTGGGAATTTAAATTTAAATCTTTGAAATACAAAGAAAACAAGTTTGAAAAAGAGTTGACAAATGCTTTACAAATCTTGATGATTTATTTTTTGTCACCTGGAGAGAAGAGAATCAGAAGATGAATCTATGACGGCATCACGCCGCTCTTCATGTGTTGAAGAAAGATTTGTGTGTTGATCTAAAATCCATCATAGTTGGATTTTTCTACTTCTGGTGTTCAGAGCTTTGTGCTAAAACAAATGTTGGTGATAAATACGTTAATAAAGACACACACACACACACACACACACACACACCACACACACACACACCACACACCACACACACACACCACCACACACACCACACCTCAGATAAACCTCCCAGTAACTGATCCATACTCATAGTGTCTGACATCATGATGATGTGTGGCTGTAAAATACGAGAAACATCAACCAGAGGATGTTTTATTGAAGATTGTGAGAAAGCCCTGCTGTTGGTCTCTTGTTGTGTTCGACCACTCGGAGAAAAGAAACACAATTGAGCGTTGAGAATTTGGCCCCCTGAGCGTCTTTAAGTGTCGATGAAGATGTTTTTCTTTTTATTATCTAATGATGAACTGAGCTCCAGTTTTCTCATGATTTATTTGATACAGCTTTTTGTCAAAGTACTCCATCTTTAAAGTATAACTAAATCCAACATGTAGAAAACATAGCAGTAACATACACCATGATATGTTGTATCAGTGATGTCAGGCCCTTTGCACACACACACACACACACACACACACACACACACACACACAATACAAACATTAAACATTTTGTTTTCCAGTTGTGTAAATAGTTTCGCTTATTTATTTTTTTAAGATTTATTTTTGGGCTTTTGGTACCTTTACTGTAGAGATAGGACAGAGGATAGAGTCTGAAATCAGGGAGAGAGAGAGAGCAGGGAATGACGTGCAGGAAAGGAGCCACAGGTCGGATTTGAACCTGGTCCGCCCGCTTGTAGGACCATAGCCTCCATTCACCAGCTCCTCAGTACTGTTTATTTCTGCATAAGTAATGAAGTGTGTTGATTTAAACGAGGCTCAAGAGATTTATAATGTTTGTGTTTTAAGGTTTTTCATTAGTAATCAGGACTATGTTGTTTTTTCTTCTGTGATATAGATTTTTATATTAAGTTTAAATGCTTCAGCTGATCACACATTGATGTGATGAAAAGAAAAGTTGTTAGTTTTATTTGAGTTAAGATCTTGAATGGTTGGTGGGATGTTGAATGTTTCTCTGTGAAGCTGTCTGTAAATATAGATTTAGTGTTTCAATAAAGCCTTTAAACATTCAAAGTGTGTGCCTTCTTGTGATTTCACATAAAGTGTCTGAATAAATGAGGAGCAGATTTCCAGATATGAAGAGCTGTGTGTGTTTTCTATAAATGATAATAAAAGATATTGCTGCAGATTTTCTTTCAGTCTTTTTCTGTTGTTAAAAACTTGTTTTCCCTGCCAAACATTAAAAACATGTTGGTCTCTGATATGAAGCTCTGGTGTAAGGGATGGAGATTGACCCAGAGGGACTCTGCAGATCAAATGGAGTTTAGTTCCTTTCACCAGTAGGGGGCGACAGAGGAGAAGAGTCTAGTTAATGAACTAAAGCACAGAAACAGGAAGTGGTTGTGGATCATAAACTGATGTCAAAAGGCTCAAAGGAACGGTAACAAAGGTCAATGTGTGTTGTTGAAAAGGTTTTTTTTATTTTTATTTTATGTCAGTGACCGGAAGTACTTTTACTCTGTGGGGCTCCGCCCTTTACATTTACAGTCTAGGGGGCTCTGGGGTTCACAAGTTTAGGGATTCATAATATTTACAGTCTATGATTCATACCAATCAGTCAGTCATCAGTGATCTGTCGATAAGCACAAGAGAGCACAGATGATGAGGAGTCCATTCTTTTGTTTTAACTGGTTTAACTGGTTTAACTGGTAACAACTGGAAAAAGATTAACCAAGATAGATCAATCACAAGCATTATCTAGTAATCTAAAAACTTCTCCAAATCTGCTGCTGAATTAACACAGAGAATAACTCATAAACTATTTAAGGGTAACTCACATATTTTGAAGAAAAGTAAAGAAAACTTTAAACGATATGATAAATTATATGATATTAAAGGTTCAATGAAAACAAATGGAGGTTATGTAATATATAAAAGGTCAAATAAAATAAATAGATGTAAAATAATATATAAAACTAAGTTTAACAATAAGAAAAACGGTGTTTTGTCTCGACTCTACTTCAGTGCAGTAACGTCCTGTGGCCACATGAGGGCGGTGTTGTTTTAACGGCTTACTCAGCAACATTCAATCAACTGTAAAACTCATACAGAACAGCAAACGAGTGCTTCCGGTCAACGGTTTGTAAAAAGAGCTTTCTTCTAACTAACATGAATGTATAACGTTGATCTTTTTAACAACTTTAACAGAACAAATAAACTAACAAGATACACAATGAAACTTTACAAACTTTCGCTCTCCCAGTCACAACAAAAACAGAAATAAAACGATGTGTTCTGTTTGATTGTGTTGTTGTAGTTTTCTATGTGTCCACTAGAGGGAGCGCAGTGTCTCTAACAGTCTACGGTCAGTCCTCATGGACTTATGACTTGAGCTGAAGGTACTATAATCTTAATAGTTTAAATTAACTGAAAATGATCAATCAGACCATAAAGTATATTTAATAATATAACAATATGTATTTGGTGTGAGCTGATATTCTAGTTATTTCATGTCATTACATAGTCAAAATATGTCCTTATGTCTTTTCAATTGGCACACACATTGTCTCTCTTCTTGTTTAATGTCATTATGTGGCTACAATAAAACAAAAGTCACTCAAATTATTCGTCAGTTAACTTGAACTGAACATTTAGCTGTAACGTGTCTTTCACTTAAAACCCAGAGACTAAACTCTGCTGTATTTTCCTGCACAACATGAGAGAACTGTGTGTCAACCACTCAACTGAGCCAAGTAGCCGACTGATTCTGTTGCTTAGTAACTTCTGACTTTGCCTCGTCTGATATTTCACTGTGTTAATCCTAAAAAAGGATTTCATTGCAAGAAAGCAAGTTAAAATCTTACTGCAGGAATGTGAGACAAAGTGAACTGACAATGTGACACATATTTGCAGTGTATATAACGCACACTGCACTCCTTGTGCCTGGACTTGTTAAAGTACAATCTATAAATAACAAAACAAAAACATCCTGTCAGTCAGTGAAGAGATGAACATGTCTCAGTTTATTTATGTACAGAAATTCAGATGAAAAGAAGGAGTCAAGTACAGAGGCATTTATATTTCTGAGAACTTCAGAAAAATAAGACTGACAACTCTAAGTATGTTTGTTTAAAAAAACAGAAACTGACAGAAACATTTTTGAAGAACAGAAAAAGCTGCTCTAAAAGTTAAAGAAAAACAAAATCCTGCTCCAAGATTGAGCCTGTAAAATATGTTCCTGACAGTTACTGTTAGGTGGGGGTTATTTCTGTAGTAGATGGACAATTATGAAAACGTGAAACAGACTGTGGATCATCTTAGATTTATTCAGCCATGGTCAGACAACACAGAAACACAACACACATGGCTGACAAAGTGCAGACCATCGCTGACCCATGCTGACCAAGATCTCACAATCATTGACAATCATTGACAATCATTGGCAAAATGGACCAAAGTCTTCATCACACAGTGTGGCTTATATTCTGCTAGAAGGTACAGCCAACAAATTCCTTTCCATTTGGGTGCATCACTATAAAACAATAAAGATGACATGACACTGATTTGTATACGTATCAGATGTAGACTCTCTGTCTACCAAACAGTTGTTGACAACATATAGTTGGCTCCTATCCAAACACAGATCTGCTACAATTTACATGTTTCATCATATAAGGTTACAGCTTCACAGACCCAAAAGTAGAATTACTGTGAGATGGTTGACAGAATTTAAAGATATGTCCACAAAATTATCAAGATGAATGAATCCATGAAAATACGTACTAACAGTTCCCCCGTTTTTAATATTTAGCTTTATTTTTCTTTAAAGGTAGAAAAGTTTGAACATGATTTTAATTTCTCTTTGAGGTGTTTACCAATTACCTTCTTTAAGTACATGGCCTCTGAGTTTCACCCATGATAGACAATAACATCGTTTTAACACTGTCCACATAACATCAAAATGTTTTAGGAGTGGTTAGAAAACATATGTAAAGATCACAGGTCACATACAAGATACCAAAACTTAACAGAAAAGGTAGAAAACCTTTAATGTTCTATTTGGGAACTCAGATCATGTTCAGTGTCAAAGAATGAAATCTAAAGATAACATCAGTGGTGAATTTACAGAACATTTGAAAACAAAGATGTTTAAATCATCAAAACTTAATGTATTTAATGATATCTAAAACATTCTTTAAAATCAAACCAAAATCAAATACTTTATATCACATCCCGCACTTTTTAATTCATCTTATTTTTATGTTTTTTATGTTTTTTTATTTTTTTTACAACAATAGATCAAATATTTAAGCAGATATGTATTTTAGAAAGATAATCAATAGAAAGGAAGCAATGACTTCAGGGTGCTCCGAAATAACCAACAAAATCTCTGCTAACTAGAAATGAAAGAAATCTCACCTGATGTTTAAAATAAACACAAATCTGACCTTCCTGTCTACCCAAAAAACAGGAGGAAAAATGTTTGATTCAAACAAAAAAAATTGAGAAAGCTTTAAGATTCTATGGAAAAATGTGGTAGTACTTATACCGTCTAGGCCAGGCATGTGCAAACTGTGGCCCGCGGGCTTTTTAATCCGGCCCGCCGAACTTGTCCAAATTATATTATTATTAAATTAAATTATAATTAAACCTCGTTTGTTTTCCCCTGTAATGCCTGCGTTTCCCCAATAGATGGCGCACTTCAGAGTGTGGTGTATTACTCCCTTAAGAACCCGGATGAACCCTTCTGTACAAATGAGCGGGCCAAAGAAAAGAAAAGTGGACAGTGAGTGCCGAGTGTTTAATACGGAGTGGACAACTAAATAGTTTTTCACTGAAGTCCGATCAAAGGCTGTATGCCTGAAATGCCAAGAAACTGTCGCAGTTTTCATAGAGTACAATATCAGCCGTCACTTTGCTACGAAGCATGCTAACTACGCTAGCAAGCAGTCCGCGCAAGAACGGGCGGCTCAGAGGTTGAAGGCTAATTTACAGACTCAGCAACATTTCACCAACAAACTGCGATTCAAGAGTCAACTACCAAGG